TCCAGTCGCTCGTGGTATTGTCCATCGAGGCGGGTGGTGACCATTGCGGACACCCTGATGTTAGCACTGCTCATGAGAAGCACGTAGCCACCAGAATGGCTGTATCGATCTCAGTACGAGCATCCCAGAAGCAGCACGTGATCTTCCAGGAAACTTGTTTTTGAGGGACTACAGGCAACCTCCAGGGAGTGAGAGAAGAATGATCGTAAAGGAACCAGACCTCACGCGTGAGCCCGAAGAGCTAGAAATGGTAGGGCTCCTAAAATGGGGGCTCCGGAAGGGGTTTTAATCTTTGAAACGCTGGCTGTCAGCACATAGTACAGTTATATATGTCGAGATACAGACACCAGGAGTAGCCTGAAACCAATGGACCAAAGCAAAACAGGAAATGGCTTTCTAGGAGACAAAGGATCTGCGCATGGAATGGGCCACCGCGGGCAGGTTCAACAGGAGTTAGAGGACACCGCATCACCGATAGCGAAATTAAGATTTGAGTTGTCTCACCTATATGAACTAGATTCCATAAACTTGATAATAACTGGACTTTGAGTAATCTTGCAAAGAGGTAGCTGGGTGCAGCAGGGCTGGGGAGTGGGTTAGGGAGGGCTAGCCAAAGATGAAATAAGGGGTAGGAGTTTCCCTTCAAAAAGGTGCCTTTATAAATTATTGAACAGCCCAGCTGGTGTGGCTCAGTCGTTGAGCATCGACCCATGCACCAAGAGGTCTCAGTTTGATTCCTGCTCAGGGCACATGCCCAGGCTGTGGGCCAAATCCCCAGCAGGGGGGCATGCAGGAAGCGGCCAATCCATGTTCTTGCTCATCAATGTATCTAGCTCTCTCTCCCTCTCCCTTCCTCTCTCTCTAAAATCAATAAAGATGCCCTGGCCGGTTTGGCTCAGCGGTTAGAGCGTCGGCCTGCGGTCCGGAGAGACCCGGGTTCGATTCCCGCTAAGGGCATGTACCTTGGTTGCAGTTTGTCCCCGGCCCTGGTTGGGTCGTGTGGGTGGCAACCACTCGATGTGTCGCTTTCAGGTCGATGTTTCTCTCTCTCTCTCTCCCTCTCCCTCTATCTGAACAAAATATCGAAAAATGTCCTCGGGTGAGGATAAAAAAAAATAATAATAAAAAATAAAATAAAATAAAATCAATAAAGATAAATAAATAAATAATATTGAACAAGGGGCCCGGCCAGTGTGAGCATGGTCTCATGTACCACAGGTCAACGGTTCGATTCCCAGTCAGGGCACATGCCTGGGTTGCAGGCTTAACCTCCAGTAGGGGGCGTGCAGGAGGCAGGCGATGGGTGTTTCTCATTGATGTTTCTCCCTCTCTCTCCTTCTCCCTAAAATAATCAATAAAAATCTTTTTTTAAAATTATTGAACATAGTATTTCCTCTAGAGTGGCTGAAGCTGTCTAATGTAATGATCGAGACAGCTGGCAGCCATGATTCTCACCACCCTGACCGAGAGTAATAAAAGTGACCAGTTTTATAGAGAAAAAAGCATGAAGCTGACCCATAGACCCAGAGACTCAATAAACAGTTGAGTCCTTATCATAACATGTTCTCAATGCTGGTCCTCCCAATGCTCAGCAGCATTCCCATCTCAAGCATCATAATACTCCAATATCCTAATAAATAACCCTCTTTGCTTAAGATAGCTTGGGTCAGTTTCTCTCACTTGCAGTTAAGAGACTTAGTACATAAGTAAAACAAGGAAAAACAAGTAAAAGAAATTGGGGGGGGGGGCGAATTTGTACTTGAAATGTTTAGGCAGATGAGTAGCCCACTTTTCCAGAACAAATGTTTAAAGTCGTACCTCTTCCCAAACCTGGGTCTCAGTGCTCCTGCCTTGAGCTCGTAGCAGAGAACTGGCCCATCGGTATAGATTCACTGAATCATAAATTCCCATGAACAGAGTTGTGCTTTTCTTGCTCAGTGATATAACCCAGCACCTGCCATTGTCTTTTATAAATAAGTATATGCTTATTACTACATTCAAACAGCAATCTTCTGTAGCAAGGAAGAGCAGCACATGATGGAAACAACTGGCCTGCTATGCAGCTGTGCAGAAGACCTGGATTCTACTTCAAGCTCTGTCTACAGCAAACACATCTCACCTTACTAGCAAAATGGGAAGATAACCTTTATTCCAGCTTCGCACCTTAGAAATAATATACCATTTAACCCTGGCCGGTTTGGCTCAGCGGTTGGAGCGTCGGCCTGCGGTACAGAGAGACCCAGGTTCGGTTCCCACTAAGGGCACGTACCTCGGTTGCAGTTTGTCCCCGGCCCTGGTTGGTCGTGCGGGTGGCAGCCACTCGATGTGTCCCTTCACATCGATGTTTCTCTCTCTCTCTCTTCCTCTCTCTCCCTCCCGCTCTATCTGAACAAAAAATGGAAAAATGTCCTCGGGTGAGGATTAAAAAAAAAAAAAAAAGAAATAATATACCATTTACTGAAGACCTGTTACCTCCCACTTCCCAATTCAAACATTAACAATCATAGTCTAATCTTTCTTTTATAAGCAAGATACATAGGGTCTCCTCTCACTTCAATCCTGTAAAGAGGTCGTTTTCTTTATAAATCTGGCAAACAGATGTGTGGCTCAGACCACGTTGCCAGCTGTCAGGGTCACCTCAGCTTTGCAGCCGAGATCATGCCAACATCGAGGTGGCCAAAGGCCTGACAAGGCAACGGTACAGGGTCTAGCGATGTCCTCCCAGCACCCTGCTCCTCCGATCGGCAGTCTTCGCCGCTCCGGAGCTCCCCACGGGGCTAACGGCGGCCCTGTCAGCTACGCGTCACAGAATGACAGCTTCCTGGGCTGATTCTGCATCCTTCCTTTACTTCTCACTAGTGTCTCTTTCCACTAAACCAAACTGCACTGCTAACTCCATTGTAGCACCTACTTCCTGGCCAATCTTGTGAGAGATCAAAGACTAGTTCGCTGCCCTGGCTGGTTTGGCTCAGCGGTTGGAGCGACGACGGCCTGCGGACTAGAGAGGTCTGGGGTCCGTTCCCGCTAAGGGCATGTACCTCGGTTGCAGTCTGTCCCGGCCCCAGTTGGGGTTGTGTGGGTGGCGACCACTCAATGTGTCTCTCACATCGATGTTTCTCTCTCTCTCTTCCTCCCTTTTTTCATCCCGCTCTATCTCAAGATAAATGCAAAAAAATGTCCTTGGGTGAAAATTTTAAAGAGACTAGTTTGCTTCCAATCCAGTCTATTAATTTACTCTCATTCACTTCATCTCTGCCTCTACTAGTGTCAATCATGCTTGGCAAGCTTTCTTGACATTTTAACATCAACAAAAGCGTTTTAAGTCCAATACAAGGTACAATTTTCTTCACAGAAAAAAAAAAAAAAAGCACCCGCCTGGTGTGGATCAGTGGGTGGGCATCGACCCATGCACCAAGAGGTCACCAGTTCGATTCCCGGTCAGGGCACATGCCCAGGTTGTGGGCCCAGTCCTAAGTGCAGGCAGGTAGGAGGCGGCCACTCAATGTTCTCTCTCATCGATGTTTCTCTCCCCCTCTCCCTCTCTCTCTCTAAAATCAATAAAGGAAAAAAATGCAATTTTACCAGAAAAATTATTTAAACGTATTTCACTGTATTTAGCAAATTTACTTTTGTTATAAAAGTCAAAACCTTTAAGAGTTATGACAGAAAAATACACCAAACCTTGATAGCACCATCTGGTGGTGCTGAACAGGAACTGTTTACTACGCATTCATTCAGGAAAAGACCTTTTGAAGCCTTAATAACTTATCTTCTGTCCATCTAGCTTAATGTTTTAAAATATGCCCTGGCTGGTGTGGCTCAGTTGGTTGGAGCATCGTCCCATATACAAAAGGTTGGCTTCCTGGTCAGGGCACATACCTAGGTTGCAGGTTTGATACTCAGTCAGGGTGTGTACAGGAGGCAATCAACAGATGTTTCTCTCGCATTGATGTTTCCACCACGCGTTCTCTCCTTCTCTCTCAAATCAGTAAGCATGTCCTCAGATGAGGATTTAAAAAAGTAATAAATACAAATGTAATTAAAGTTAAATCAAGTCTTTCAAGTTGGTGAGTACATACAGGTCTTGTTTTCCATCTTCAGAGCTCTGGAGCATAGCAATCTCTTCCCACGTCTCTCATCACTATAGTAAAAACTATTAACTTACCTGCTTGATTTTTGTGGCATTTATCAGTATCTGACATTTTATAGACATTTAATCTTTTGATTATCTGCCTTCCTTACAAGACTTTCTCTATATGGGGAGAGACTAATCCTGTGTTGCTTGACATATAACAGGTACTCAAAACTTTTCGAATAAATGGTTCTTTTTAAATTTAATGAATGGCTACATTTAGATCAGCCTTGGAATTAGAAAAAAATTTTTTACCTGAAAGAAAACTTTCCTGTAAACTTAGACTTTAGGATAAGAACTGATTGGGCCACTAGAGAAGAGAGGGAGAACGAAAGGCCTGGCTAGCAGAAATGGGGACAGGACCACACTGGTCGAGAGATGTTTTCAGATGTGTTCCAAAGTGTGTTAATTACTGAAAATGAAAACCTGAAGGGAACTTTCATCTAACGCATCACATTTCCAACAACTCTGGCACAGACATGCAGCCAGTGCTTGAATACGTGTAGGGATGGGAAGTTGCCACCTCACAGGGCATCCTGCCAGCTACATTTTGAGACTTTAGGCCACCCACCGTAGCTCAAGTCACAAGATGGGACTAAATATTATAGACCAAAAGGTTAATGTCATCATTAAAAAACAAACATAAAGTCCAGCCAGTGTGGCTCAGTGGTTGAGCATTGACCCATGCACCAAGAGGTCACTGGTTTGATTCCCGGTCAGGACACATGCCCAGGTTGTGGGCCAAATCCCCAGTGGGGGGCATGCAGGAGGCGGCCAATCGATGTCTCCCTCTCTCCCTCCTCTCTGTCTAAAATCAATAAAAAAAAAAAAATTTTTTTTAAACAGAAACAAACACAAAAGTTGTTAATTAGAAAAATTCTTTATTTATGCTCCTTTCATACACCTCACTGTTCAGGACACAGCCTCACATACACGTCTGAAATAATGTATTGTCACACACACTGTTTGAAGGCAAAGCACCGCAGGTGAAGCTGATCAGCTGTCCAGACTTCTCAGCTTACAGGATCTTGCTACCTCATTTTACATTAATTTCTCAAAGCCAGAAATGTCATCTCCAAAAAATGTTGAGGGTTGTAAAAAATAATTACTTTATTCAATATTACAGGTGTAAAAATGGAGTATATTTTCTTTAAGAAATTAAAAACTGAGAAGAAAATGCCACTTAACATCATTGGTACATCAGTGTACGTCAGCAGAAAAAACACTGTGATGAGCTTGTCCCTTTGATATTATGGTCCAAACTTTAATGCTTCCCATGTTTTCTACTACACGCTTCTTTTCTGCTGCTTTTTATCCTTTTCCATATTTTATATCAGAGGTTTGGTATAGTCTTTAAAACTTCATTAGCGGGAACAAATCCAGTATCCACAGATTTCTTCTCAAAAGGCACTCTAACCCATCAGATAGCCCCTACAAAAACAAAATTTATAAACACAGAAAGTGAAAAGGAAGCCACATTTCAAAGTGCCCAACCAAATTTTATAATGAATCAAATGACAATCTGAAAATATAATTGAGTTATTCCTTTTTATGGTTCTTAGTTCAGAATCAATTTTCTTTGGATTCTCACAACTGCAACAAAAATCATAATGGAAGCTGGTTTTGATTTTCTTAGAACCCTAACATTACCAAAGAGGGAGGGAGGATCAGGAGCTATTCACACCTGGGACATGAGACCTGAGCCCTGGAGAAACAGTGTGCAGAAGCGTGGGCCCCCAGCCCTCTGCTCCTTTAGGAAAAGTCCGGACAGCAGGGGGAGCCTTAGCTGCAGCTGTTAAACAGGTCAAACTTTATGGGGATCAAAGGGGAGATCCTTCTACTCAATGTACAACTTAGGCCCTGGAATCCTTTTAAGTTGAAGCATTAAGTATGGTTTTATAAAGTTCCAAATGTTTTCCTTTGCAAATAATCCTTGCAACCTATTAGTAAGGATCTGCAAGATGAGAGGGAAAAAAAGAGACCGTACAAAGCTTTCCACATTAAGAAGGGGATTAACAATCAATGTGTCTCTCTCACATGGATGTTTCTCTCTCTCTCCCCCTTCCTCCCTCCCACTCTATCTAAAAAAAAAAAAATCAATGGAAAAATATCCTTGGGTGAGAATAAAAAAAAGAGTTTAATATATCCTGTCCCCACTGATGCCTTCAGAACTTCTCTCCTTTGGACACTGCATCTGACATTTCTATAGGTAAGGCTACTCATGGTAATTAAGCTCTCAACAATGTTAGCTGCTACTATTAGTTCAGAATCAAATTTCTTTATCTGTAAGGTAAGAAATCAAAACTCTTCACGGGGTTGAGATCTACTACAGTGCCTGGTACATAGCAGACACTCAGAAGTGTGATTCTCTTCTCTTCCAGCTTCTGGACTCATTTGATCCACAGGGCTTAGATCTTTGTGCAGCCAATGCGATTTCCCTAGCACCCATTCTTGCTTATTTACCTGCTGTTATCAGTCTGGCTGATTCAAACTGAGTACAGAGAGAATTTTTATCTCACACAACCACCGCTGCAACAGCTCTGATACAACCCAATACGTCTCACCCACCACCCATGCCCCCGCCAAGAAAACAACTGAATAAAAAAAGGGGGGGGCTCCTAGGATATATACTGACCTAGAAGACCCCACATAAATTTACTACTATAATGCCTGATACTTCCCATAACGCATACTTTAGGAACTAAACTTCACAAGAAAAAAAGTTCAAGAAGATTGTCCACTAATATCTGTACCAGGAGAAGTTACTCAACAGCCAGCTTACATTTTGGTCTGAAGTACTGAGGACTCGTAAGGATAGCAGCCTGTCACCTGCACACACTTTCGGACGCTGATCTCTTAATAGTTAGATGCCGTGGCATTCCTCCTTGTAACTAGTGTGTGACTTATGCTAGGTACTATAAATCCATGGATTATTGCCAACACAAATTTAGATGGAAAACAGTACTGAAATGGTCAAATCCTTGTTCAAGCTGCCAAACATATTCCTCTCCTACCTTAGGAAAAATTGGGGTAACATTAAGAAATATTATAATGCTATAAAGATACCATGTTGGAAGAAAAAAAATGAGCAAATAAACTAATATACTTCTTTTTTTATTGAGTTTTAATTATGTACCAAACACTGTACCAGATATTTTTTGTGCATTACCTTATTTAATCTTCAGAACAGTACTGATGTCTTCATTTAATAGACAAGGAAACTTGCTTAAGGCCTCACACCATGTAAAGTTATAACTGGGATTTGTCGGTTTCTCTCTCTCCTTTCTTTTTTTTAATTTTTATTTTTAGTAGGGAATAAAAATAAATTTGTTGAAACACATTTACTATAGTTTCTTCTGGAACCATTTAGTCCTTTCTCGTGACCCAGAAAATGTCATGTTCTTTAGTTATTATATTCAGACTTGTTAGAATTTCACACAAGTAAAATTACTAGCAAATACAAGTACTTAGATTAATATAAGCATTATAGGTAAATCAAGAACTCAAGAAACAACTGTACAAAAAAGCCAGAAAGAGCTTCTATTTTTTTTATCCTCACCCAAGGACATTTTTTTTGCATTTATCTTCAGATAGAGCAGGAGGGAGACAGGGAGGAAGAGAGACAGAGAAACATTGATGTGAGAGAGACACATCAAGTGGCTGCCACCCACATGACCCCAACTGGGGCCAGGGACAAACTGCAAATGAGGTACGTGCCCTTAGCGAGAACCGAACCCAGTACTCTCTGGTCCACGGGCCAATGTTCTAACCACTGAACCAAACCGGCCTGGGCTAGAAAGAGCTTCTATTCTGCCTTTATTTTAAGATATTCATTCTTTCAGAGTACCTTTTGTAGTATGTAAGGTTGACACTAACACAGAAATTTCTCAAAACACTATGACATGCACTCTTGCATTTTAGCCCTTGTAACAATCCCATAAAGGTGGGTGAAACAAATATTGTTCTCACTTTGCAGTTGAAGAATGTACGACTGTGAGTGCAGTTATATGGTTTGCTCAAAAGCAAAGAACCAGCATTAAAACACAACTGTGCCCCTTCTGGTCCACTACCTCCTCCAATGATCCTAAAGCAGAAATCTCCCTTTCTTCTTTTGTTTATTTATTTGTTTTTAAAATAGTGGCCATAATTCAATTTGAAACAGAGAACTTTTAGGATTCTGTTTATCCTTACAATAAAAACACGAATAACTATTATTAACATTTTATGCTTGAGAGCACATAAAACACCCTCTCATTTAATCTTGAGTCATATAATTAACTTCATTGAACAAGTCTGGAATCTGAGAGTCCATATAACTAGCCCAAAGTCTCAGAGCAAAGCAGCAGCAAGCCCCAAACTGGCCTCCAAATTCCTCTCCTCCTACCACATACCATCCTCAGCAGCTGTGCATTTTGTTTTGCTAGAATTCCTGCTCCCCTGTACTAACAATGAACCGTAGAACAAGGTTTCACTCACTGCAACAACCCTGCTTGTTCAGATGCCAGCCTCTACGACCTTAACTTTTTGAGTCAAGCTCCAAACCTGGACGCAAATGAAAGAGACTCATATACCTTCAAGGACCAGGGAAAAGCCTGGTCATTACACCCTCCTTCTGCAAGATTGAGTTAAGATGCAATCAAATAGTTGGGTTACTCATTTCCTCAACTCACAACAATAAACAAACTGGAAAGGAACAAGAAAAGATGAAACTGAACGTGATAACAGCAAGAAGTGACCGGTTACACTGAGGAAATAAACTAAATAGTACTATGTTTAATACAAATGTAAGTATAAATGACCCCAAGTCAAGAAGGCAAAATTATGCTTAATGTTCACAGTGTCCAGCACATAATAGTTATCAGGTAATAAATATTTGCTAAATACAAATGAGAATTTTAAGGAGGCAATAAAACAAACACTTTTGAAAGAAGTCTGCCAAAAATAAGGTCAAGTTTTAGTACATGTAGCATTAAATTTCACTTATATGGAAGAATTGAATATATGCATCATCCTATTCCCTAAACTATGTTAATTTAAGTTAAATATTACTACATTCTAATTCCTTATTTTTCATTTCCTTCCTCTTCTTAAGGAAACTTCTTTTCTGAACTAATCTCGTGACCTTAGGATTTACTCAAGGGCTCCCTAGTTTTTCTCATCAGGCTAAATAAACACTAGTACAAATTACTAAAATGGCAATTTTTGCCTGTCTGAGCAAAGCACACCTTTGGTCTGCAGTTATGTAATGGTATCTATTTATATAGCTATAAATGTAGGAACCCAACCCTCCTCTCCCAACCAAACTTTTTGCCTAATTTTAGGTCATTACACCATGACATAGCAGGCCATCTTTTATTTTTTTAATTTTAAGATTTTTTCCATTAGGTCAAAAATACCCTAATGGTGGAAGCTAAAGAGAAACTAATAATCATTCATTACATTTTATAAGAACCAAGTACAAATCTGTACCAAAGTCTTCTACCCAGTGTACAAACATGACTTCTTTGAGCCTGTGTACATTTAAAAAGTACCTCACACATACACTTCACATACATTATCTCATGAATTATAGAACATTTTTATTTTCAAAATGAAAATCACCCTTCTGTGCTAGTACAATAAAAATATCAGGCACTAAAATGTGATTTTTCATTTTAAATGTATTATCATTTATGCAAATAGTCAAAAATAGTTATATTTTATTAGCATCCATGTTTCTTCAAAAGACAAGGCATCAAAGCCACGTTTTCACTTATAAAATTTTATCAGTAGGGAGACATCAGGTCTTTGAAAAAGCATAAATCAGCCCTGGCCGGTTTGGCTCAGCGGTTAGAGTGTCAGCCCGCAGACCGGAGAGACCCGGGTTTGGTTCCCGCTAAGGGCATGTACCTCTGTTATAGTTTGTCCCTGGCCCTGGTTGGGGTCGTGTGGGTGGCAGCCACTCGGTGTCTCTCTCACATCGATGTTTCTCTCTCTCTCTTCCTTCCTCTCTCCCTCCTGCTCTATCTAAAGATAAATGCAAAAAAAAAAAAAAAAAGTCCTCAGGTGAGAATAAAAAAAAAGTATAAATCAGAAACTATAAAACTAGTAGTAACACTTCACTGCTCTAGTCTTCTCCTTTTTAATGGTAACTCTTGCTAAAGAAGATAAACTTTTTGTGAAACAGTCCAACACCGCATCTCCTAGCACAGCCATCCTAGCTCAGATGCCAGCAACTATCTAATCTGAGAAATTCCATGGTCACTGGTGTTTTTAAATGTCTGGTTGTTGTTCTTCCCCTTATGTATCAAGTTGTTTATATATGGTTGGGGTCAAAGATAACACAAGTGCAAGAATGACGACACCTCCCCTCCTTGCTAGTGGTACAGACACAACCTTACTGTGTGCAACACATAGGCTCACAAACCTGGCTCACTGCTGTTTGAGGCCTGCTAATATTCCAGAAAATGCAACACTGTTCGCTTTCTTTTCTAAAACTGTCCACTGTTTCTCCCCACTCTACATCTACAGGCATTAGTAGCTGTAGCTGAGAAATCACATCAAAGAGGGAACCATCAATTCCTGCCTTCCAAAAATTTAAATACTAGAGTTACCTGCATGACAAGTTACAGAAAGAAGCAATTTTCTGCTTGGATCATTGTTCTGCTTTGATTATACCTAAACATAATCCACATCTGAAACCCAGAGACTTAGCCTATTTCCTCTTGTTGACTTAGTTAACAATCTTGGATAATGCCTTCTGAATGGGGACAGGAAGACAAATGTTTATACAAATAACTGCAAAAGTAAAATGGAGGCAATCCAGAGAATTAAACACTTATCAAAGCATTTTAGTAAGTAGTGGATAGCTCTATTATCCTAACAGTCAAATGCGTGAGCTAAAAGAAAAACACTCAGATCCTAAGGAGAGGGCCTAAAACCATAAGGAAGAACGGGAAGCATAGGTAGAATGAGAACAAATCTGGTTCTACAGGCAAAACCAGCTCACTTCTGTTCTGCTGTGTCTCCAAAGGTTCCTTCTGTTTGGGTTGTTAATTTCTAATAGCCTCCTTATCCTCTCTGGGAGTCCCCTCCTTTCTTGTTCGGCAATGGAAAACTTCAGCTTCTTCCATATACTCTTCCAGTATACCTTTTCCAACAGGGGCAGATATAGGTACTCTAGCCTCCTCTTTTTCTGCCCCCATTGGAATAAAAAATCCCTTTCCCATCTTTCTGGGAAGGCACCTCCCCTTTCCCATCCAAGGCTTTATGGGTTTTCCTCATACTAACATCAAAGAGCAGCAGCAATTAATATCTTGAATATATTCACTACTATCACCATTACTACTAGAATCTCCTATGTTACAGATTAATCAACAAGCACGTTAGAGAAACAGTTGTCAGTGATGCTACAGCAAAATAACTAGGTTTTCTCATGAACATGCATCAGGAAGACCTATTGGTCTCAATTTTGCTACTAGTGTTAGCTATAACCTTGAGCAAGTCACAATTTTTTTAGTTCTCAGAATTTTCATCTGTTTAAATGAGTTAAATTCAATCTATAATTGTATGTGATCTAGGTAATTATTTTACTAATTTGCAACAAAAGTAAAGTTGCTGATTACACAAAGTACTTAATAACTTACGGCAATTTCATTCTCATGAATACTCTAGCCATGAAAAAACTCAATAGGACACAGACGAATCCAATGAATAGAAGAAGAAATCTATTGAGTTTTGGAATGTTTGGAGCATTGGATCGGTCTAGGATTATGAAACCTAAACCTCCCATTGTAAACAGGAAGCTGGATGCGAGTCCTTCCATAATATATTGTCCATTTACTCTGAAAAAGAAAGACCACAGCAAAATAAAAAATAAAAACATTTTGTTTTCCCAGAAAAACAAAAAACTTTTTCCTTAGATTGAAATTCCCATTTCTGCTAAACATTTTTGTACTAATTTTTTATTCTAGCCCTTACAACTATTTTACTACATTTCTGGATATTCATTTCAACAAATGCTTATTGAGAACCTATTATGTATCAAGTATAATTCTAGGTTCTTGGGCTAAAACAGTGAACAAAACAAAAAGCTTTGTATTCATGAAGCATATGTCCAAAGGAGCTCTAAAACCTCAACTAACACAACTGTCTATGAAGATCAATACTCACATTGTAATTATTAGCTTAAAAGGTCAATTACTGTATGCATGTGAATCTTTTACCCAGAACTTTAGTTTAGCTTTTAAAAGTTATGCTATTTAGCCCTGGCTGGTATGGCTCAGCAGTTGGAGCATCAGCCTGCGGACCAGGGAGTCCTGGGTTCAGTTCTCACTAGAGGCACATACCCAAAAAAAAAAAGAGAGAGAGAGAGAGAGAGATGCTATTTAAATTTCTATCAATTTCAAATTAATTTTGAACTGGTTAGAAATAGTTCTGTAAAAGTTTAATAATTAATAAATCTCTAGTTTCAAAGTGTTATCTTAACTAAGGCTCCATGAACCCCCACAAGGACTCCCAGTGATCTATAAACCCCTATCATTATGTGCAAATTTTTGTGCATTATCTGTATCTGATTTTTAGAGTTCATGGACCCGTAAAAGCAAATCTCTTTGTTAAAGGGATGATTTATACATAGGTATATGCAAGGAAGGTACATATTTTTTTTGTTAACTAATTGCTTCAATTGAAAGCTCAATACATGCACCAAGTTCAAACAGCACAAATGATGACACTGTCAAAGGTTTCCCTACCAACAAGATCGCCTGTCATCTAGATCTCCTCCCCAAAGAATCACAATAATCTTTCCAGGAATATCCTATGCAGAGAATACCATTAATGTAAGGTATAAATACAAATATAGACTAACTATGTTTAAGTGGACAGTTATCAGGTGTATTGTACAAAGCAATGCAATAAGCACTGCTCAAGTGAACCAAACCACACTGGAACAGTATTTCATTGCTGACATGGAACTCCCAGGTCTCAAAAGCTATGTTTCTTAGTTAATAATATATATTTCTTAAATGGCCACGTGGCACAATACAGGTCATATGGTTTGGGCCACACTTACCACTGTAGCTTGAAAGCAGCCACAGATGGTATACAAACGGGCATCCCCAGTTCCAATAAAGCTTCACTGACAAACTGGTTTGCTAAATCCCAGAATATTCTACGTATGTATTTTAAATTGATACCCTCCTTAAAATAAGTGATCATATCATTGTGAAATATGTTATTTCCTAATAAATGAATAGGTAACATACATCTCTTACTCCTGCTCACTTCCTGCCATTTCTGAATTTAGCATTTTAAAATAGCTACAAACTCCACAGTTTCACTACTTTTTTAAACAGGCAGGCATGGCCCAGCAACTTCCTTCCCACCACCAAATCATTCAAAATAGGGTATCTTTTACCTGTAGGCTAAGAAAGCCACTGGTCTCTGATGCCCATGTTCATCAGTCATAGAGCCAACACTTGGAGGTTCAACAATAACATCATAAATTATTCCTATATGAAAGATAACAGTAGAGATTAGATTGAATTTCGAATAGGATTCGTTCTTGTCTCTCTAAAGGCTCATTTATATTTAAATAGGACTGCTTTGATATAGTATTATAATCAAATGAGGCCCAGCTAATTATCTAAACTTCAGATAAAACCACTCAGAAATTCAACTCAATACTTTAGAATGACTTGTAAAACAATGTTATCTTTAAAAGAGTACTTCATAAAATAAATTCATTTAATAACTGTTTCTAATACTCAAGAATGACTCCACAATAAAGCAGATTTAGCATTAAAGATTATATTTCAGTTCAAGACAAAGTTCCACTAAGTTTGGATTTGTTTCTATAAATTGAGAACTACTAGAGAAATTTTCTTGCTTAAATGTAAAACATTTAAAATCACATCATTAGCACTAGAGATTCATGATCATTTCTTTTTTTTTTTTTATCCTCACCCGAGGACATTTTTCCATTTTTTGTACAGATAGAGTGGGAGGGAGAGAGAGAGAGAGAGAGGGAAACATCGATGTGAAAGGGACACATCGAGTGGCTGCCACCCGCACGACCATCCAGGGCCGGGGACAAACTGCAACCAAGGTACATGCCCTTAGCGGGAACCGAACCCGGGTCTCTCAGGACCGCAGGCGGACACTCTAACCGCTGAGACAAACCGGCCAGGGCTCATGATCATTTCTTTAAAATTTTTTTCTTTATTAATTTTTGAGAGAGAGGAAGGGAGAGGGAGAGACACAGAGAGAAACATGGATGAGAGAGAACATCGACTGGCTGCCTCCTGCATGCCCCCCACTGGGGATCCAGGCCCACAACATGGGCATGTGCCCTGGCCAGGAATCGAACCGGCAACCTCTTGGTGCATGGGCTGACGCTCAACCACTGAGCCACACCAGCCAGGCTCATGATCATTATTAATGTCTATTATCATTTTAAGTTTTTTGAATCTCCATTGTCAACATGTTTTCTCCGTTGTTCTCCAACATCCTCACTTTCAGCTTTTCTTAAACACAGACTATGTCTCACTCCTCACTAATAAACCAATCATATTAGAATTCCCTAATCCCTCTTCCCCCATGTACAAACTGGTATCTGCATCTATCCACACCTCCTTCCCTCCGGCCCCATCAAGGAAGAATCCCTTCTCCGATTATCAGGACTCTATCCCTCTTGCCTTCTCAGAGACCTTGTTCCTTTGGATATCTCTTCTCTCCGGTATTTTCAACCTGTCTTTCCCTACCATCAACATTCCGTTGACTCCAGATCATTCTAGCTAACATCCCATTTCTGTTTCCTTTTAGAAAGGGAGTCAGGCTTCCTGGGGGGGGGGGGGGGGGATTAGCAAATTTGCTGTCCCCCCTTCCTCACTCACCCTTCATTCAACTCCCTCCAATCTGACTTCTGCCACCACTGATAACACTCTTGCTAGGGTTGCCTATGACCTCGATGTTGTTTAATCCAATGGCCACTTTCAGGTCTCATTTTAGTTTCCCAGCAGCACTCAATCCCATTTTCTTGGAAGGAAAAATGGCTTTTCATGGCTATTGTAACACTCCTGTCCATTATTTCTTGCTACCTCTCTAGCAGAGTCTCCTCTTCTATAAAACCACGAAGTGTTGAAAGTTCCTTAGGGCTTAATCCACTGTCCACTTTTTCTACATTCTCCCAAACTGAACTCATACCTTCCCACAACTTTCAATTCTATGTGCTAATGACTCTCAAAGTGCCAACACCTATCAATTAATGTTAGCACCATTAGAATTAAATGTAAGTTCCCCCAGAACAGGGGCTTTGACAATGCTCTTCAAGATCTGACATTTGTATTGACCAACTTCAACACAGACCTCTTTTCTCAGTGCTATTCATACCTGTAAATTCACATAGCCAACTAATTATAGTTGGCTATGTCCAATTATTATACATATCTTGAAGTGACCTCCGGTTCATCCTTCTCCACCAAAAAAGACTTCATTTCTTCAATCTCAGAAAAAGGGCATGCTCAGATGCTCAAACCAGACACCAGTTAAGATTCCTTCACACTTCATTCTCCCCTTACATCCAACCAATCCATCAAGACCTCCTGAATCTACTTCCAAATAATCTTTCATTGTATTTTTCCCCATCTCCACTGCCTACCAACCTAGTCTGGTCTAAGTCAACTACAAAACCCATCTAATTGGTCTCTCAGTCCCTCTGCCTGGTATATACACTTTCCTCCAATCCATCAGATTTTGGCTAACATGTCATTTCCTCAGCAACCACACCCCAATGTAAATGATATTCCCAACTCCCATTATTTTCTCATAATCTCCTGTTCTTTTCCTTCAATGCATCTGTGGCATTTTTGCAGTGAAAAAAAATAGTGCAACAAAAAATTTCATGTGATATTTAACATGTCTCAACCATGACATTATAAGCTTCAGGAGGGCAGGGTCCTTAACTGTTTCATTCATTGTTGTCCCCAGTACCTGGTGACTGGAATTTAATAGGGACTCAATACATTATTTGCTGAATATTTCTCTACAATAAACGGTTTATTTATAAAGGTACACCCGGTTTTTTGAAGAGATTCCTTTCAAGTGGCAAAACCGATCCCTCGTATGAGACACTGCATGACCTTTTCCCCAGGGGCTGGGGCAGAAAATCTCCCCCATACAACGATCAACTTGGAAGAGGTAGCCAGAATGAAAACTGTGAGGCTTCTAGCAAAGGCTCTGGCTCCAAGGGAGGTAAGAGTTACAGGAAAAGGAGTAGCAGATAAAAGCCCGTTGAAGACTCTATTACTTAGCCAAAAAAAAGCCACATGCATTTTAAATTTTGTTTATTCAGTACAGTACCTATTCAAGTGCTGAGCGAATGTTAATACTACTGCAAAGCCAGGATAGTATTTTACCAACATAAAAAATATTTAAAATTTAATTTATTTAAAGGAGCATAAGTAAATTGTCAGTTATGGAGGTGGGGGCTGTAATTCAAAGATACATTCTAGAACAAAGACCTCACAGTTCCAGATTCTTCCCTCTTCGGCACAACTGTTCTCACAAAACCTCTATGAAAATGACGATGTCTCTGGCCATTACCTTAAAAGGAGAACCACTTTAACTGTCCCTAACCTGTAGAAACTTGAATTCTATCATCTCCAAATTAAGTACCCACTTCCCAAAATCTAAAGCAGCACAGTCTGGAACTGTGGTTTGAAAGGGTGGTGGCTCTGAAAAGACCGTGGCTGGATTGCCAGCTCACCACTACACAAAGCAACGCCCCTTTAGCAACTTTCTGTATTTGAAAAGAACGTGATAAAAAATTCATCCGAAGATTTTTGTTTTTTTACACCTTGTGTTTGTCACACATATGCCCACTTTCTGTTTTGCTCAGAAAGAGGTGCTAAACTGTGTAACAATTTCTTTCCCACAGAGGAATGCCACAACCGCCACCATAGGAACAGCTGCAGACCAGTAGCTGTGGAAATAAGTTTTTAATAGTAATGTTCTTTTCCTTGTTCTTTACATTGTCAACTTCTCTCTGAAATACAATATCATCTGCAAGTCTAGCTCCAACCTCCAATATTAATAAAAACAGTGGTTTGGGAAAATTCCATTCATATTCAGTGCTGATCTGAACCCTAAGGTCTGAGCTAACAAACTCAAGAATTCTTGTCTCTCCCAAGGTTCCAGGGGCCCGAGACAAAGAAACGGTACAGGTCCCGTGTCTCACCATGGAAGTAAAAGGAGCCAGACTAGACTTGCCCAGGTTGTCAAACCACCACCTGGCCTTGAGGAACACATTCGGCTGGGACCCCTAGGCTAACAGGTGAAGGAGGAGAAAAGCAATAGATGTGAGAACACAAGTGCTGTCGAGATAAAAGGCAGGGTATGAGGGCAAATAAACCTCTGGCTGTTAATACTTGAGACCCCAGAACTTCCCTCCACCCTCTGAGATGATCAGGAGCAGAGCGATGCTTGCCCCGGGCGGACAGTCGGCGGAACAGCCGCCCGCGGGCCGGTGGGCTCTCCACACCTCGGCGCCTGTCGAGCCCCCGCCAGCCCGAGTTACCTCCGGTGATGAGGAAGTAAGACACCACCACCAGGGCGTACACCGTCATGGCCGAGGGCATGTGCACCCACGGCGGCTTCTTCAGCTTCAGGTTGGGGCATTCCAGCACTAAGAATGGGACTCGGTACAGAGTCTCCATGTTGGTGGTGGCAAGGGCAGCTCTGAAGTCCCACGCGCCACCCGGAAACAGGCCAGTCCTTCCTTTCCTCCGCGCGTGCGCACTGGAGGAAACGGCAGGTCTGCAACTCCTAGAGGCAGTTTATATATCTACAGAAGAAAATAAAAACCTACTTTTTAAACGACAATATTTAAAATGATGTATTATTGAATATTTTTCCATAAATTTGAATGATAATCTCATTTATTGCCAATAAATTAACATGTAGTTTATAGACCTTCAAGGACCTGCATGACTTCTGACGTGGCCCAGCCACATGAGCCCGCCCACTTGCTGACGCTAAGGATTGGAAAGCTGATTGGACCTGGGCGCTCTAGGTTCCCAGAGCTGGAGGATGAATGGGAATGTTTGGAAACGTCTGCCTTTCTTATTAGTGTTTTTTTAAGAGCTTGCGAAAGTCCTAAGTTGCTGAGCTTTTACTTCCTGATGCATTAGTGGCGATAGTAATAATAGTAATTGTTATTAATAATTGCTAAAATAATATAATATCGGCATTTTTTAAAAATCCAGTCTAGATCTATCACAAATGTCAAGAGGACATCTCCACAGGACGCCTAAAATTGATAACCTTAAGTAACCAAAATACTATTTTAGATAACCCGTGTCCTCTCCTCTCTCAGCCATCTTTAGGGCGGAAAATCTTTCAGGCAGAAAATCTTGAAATCAGCCTACTTGCTCTCTTGATTAAACCTCCACATCCAAAATATCAGCAGGTATTTTTTATCTTTACTACCAAAAATATCTTTTTTTTATCCTCACCCGAGGACATTTTTGGATATGTTGTTCAGATAGAGTGGGGGAGGGGGGAGAGAGAGAGAGGAGAGAGAGAGAGAGAGAGAGAGAGAGAGAGAGAGAGAGAGACATCAATGTGAAAAGGACACACACCCGCACTACACAACCAGGGCCGGGGACAAACTGCAACTGAGGTATGTGCCCTTAGCAGGAACCAAACCCGGGTCTCTAGGGACAGCAAGCCGCTGCTCTAACCGCTGAGCCAAACTGGCCAGGGCCAAAAATATCTTTAATTCATCCACTTCTCACCATTCCATTGCTACCACTCTATTGGCAGCCACAGCATCTCTTGCCTGTACTACATTCTCAATCCAACTGATGAAAATATATGATGAGTTAGTTAGTCTTTGGGGTTGGACTAAATGGCCTGAAAAGTGTTTCATTTTCTGTTCGTTTTTTGCTTTTTTTTTCTTCTACACTCTCTTAAGATTCTGCAAATGTCAATTTCCTTTTGAAGTAAGAGTTAAAAGTGACTGGTTATATAAATCCAGTACAGATGGATAACTTTATCAAGCCAATGTTTTCATGTTTTTCTTTGTTGGTTTGTTACTGAGCCCCTGGTTTTCCGAGGATTACATGAATTGGTTCTACACATTTAATTGATGTCTCAATTATTGAGAAATTGTTTAAAACCCATAATAATGAAAATATTTATAAAACATTGCAATATCTAATTCTAAATACAGATGAAGCTTGCTGATCTTATGGTTTAATAGTTAGAGTCTCCACTGAGTCTTATTGAGCTTTGTATTAAGGAGAGTACACTGATCTTAAATTATGAAGGGGTCACTAATAACACCAATAATGAAATGCGTTTACATCAGAATCAGTATTTATACATAGGAAGTTTTTCTGGAAACTATAAAGCAGAATGTTTTGAACTTCCCATGCTTTTATAAAGAAAGAAAACTTTGGAACAATTAAAAATATATTGCCTTGAAAAATGAATAAAAATAAAAACTTTTAAGCTTCTTTTATAGCTTTAGGAAGGAAACAAACATCAATTAATCACTACTTGGCAGATACTATGTTAAGTGATTTACATTGGTTCTTATTTAGTCTTCATGACAATTCTATTAACTAAATGGTATTATCACCACTTTACATATTACAAAACTGAAGCTTGGGAAGTGAAGTAAATGCAAAAATATAGTATGGTCTGTAATTAGATGACACCTAAAGGCAATTGCCCTAACATAAGACAGATTTAAGATATTTAAAGTGGGATAAGTTTATATACTAATCCTTCTTCCTGTATATTTTAGGACCAAATAATTCTATACATTGTGGAAAATACAAAGAAGTTTTAAAATTTTTAATGAAAAATGAAACTGCCAAGTCAGATCACATTTATCTATATGTTGAATTACCACTGTCACTTTTTTACTCTGTTTCAAAATGTAAGTTTGTTCCAAGAAAGTAAGCAAAATAAACATCAGAGGACCCTCAGTGAAACTTGTAGGATCCAAGTAGTCTGTAACACGAGAGAGATCCCTTCCAAGGTAAGGGATATATAGTACATCTGACTCCACCTTCCACTAAGAAAGACATACAATGTTTAGGGACCCACTCAGGATTTTGGAGGCAGCATATACTTCATTTGGTCATATGATTTTTACCTCTTTACTGAGTAATGCAATAAGCTGCTGGTTCTGAGTGGGACCCAGAACAAGTGAAGGCTCTGCAACAGGTCCAGCCTGTTGAGCAAACTGCTCTGTCATTTGAACCATAACACTTAGCAGATCTAATATTACTTGTTATGTCTTTGGCAGATAGGGATGCTCTACAGAGCTTTTGACAAGCCCCTTTAGATGAATAACAGCACAGAGCCCTGGACTTCTGGAGAAAACCTATGCCATCTTCTGCAAATAAATATTCTCCTTTGAGAAATAGCTTCTGGCTTGCCACTGGGCCTTAGTAGAGACTAAACTATTGACCATGAAACCTGAACTATCCATCACCAATTTGGCATTGTCTCACCTATCAACCCATAAATGTGGGAGTCCACACAGCATTCCATCATCCGATGAAACTTTTATGCAGGAGATCAGGCTCAAGTAGGTCTTGAAGGTACATGGAAATTACTTGAGAGATAATCCAGATACAGATGGCCTACATTCCTGCCATATTGCCTCTTCTCTCTCAACCTATACATGTGGCATTATGAAGAAGAAAAAAATGGGGGCTCACTTTACAGATAGTTCTACACAGTGTGCTGGCACGATCTGAAAGCTGATGGGATTTGCACTGTAGCCTCACTTGGGGGAGAGGACACTAAGTGAAGTGATGAGTGAAAATCTTCTCAGTGGGCAGACTTTTAGCAGTGTATCTGACTGTTCATTTTTTTCTGGAAGGAATAATGGTCAGAGTGATGGGTCTACAGTGATTCATGGTCAGGGGCTAATTATTTGGCTGGCTGGCTGGCCAGGGAATTCAACTGGAGAAATGTTAAGGTCAGGAGAATAGGTGCGTGAATAGATCTTTCTCTATAGGTTCAAACTGTGAAGATATCTATGCCCTCAGGTGAATACTTACCAAAGAGCAACCTATGTAGAGAAGAATATTCATAATCTGATGGATAAGATGACCTATCTCATGGACATCCATCATCTTCTTTCCCCAATCACCACTGGTGGGCCCACAGACAAAGTGGCTATGGCAGCAGGAATGGAGGTTTAGAATGAATTTTCACTCATCAAGGTTAGAGCCACTGCTGAGGTCCCAATCTGCCAACAGTAGAAACCACAAGGAGCCCACAATATGGCCCCATCCTCCAGGGGGAGGAGCCACACACTGATAGCAGGTTGATTACATAGAACCACGTCCAGTAGGCATTTGGTTTTTACTGAAGTAGATATTTACACTGGATAGAAATGTTCCTTTTTTTTTGTCCAAAATGCTGCTACCAAAGTCACTATTGTGCAGACTGAAGGCATGCCTTATTCGTCATGCTTACACCACATAGCATTGCTTCTGGCCCAGGAACCTGTTTGACAGCAGGTGAATTGTGGCAACTGGCTCATGTTCATGCAACTCACTGGTCTTAGCATGTGGCCCCTCACCTTGAAGTAGCTGTATGGAACAGTGGAGTGGCCTTTTGAAATTCAGTTATGATGTTAGCTGGGACAATATCTTCCAAGATGCAGTTTGCGTTATAAAATCAGCGATAATAAATGATGCTGTTTCTCTTACCATCAGGATTTACAAGTCCAGGAATTGAATGTAGAAAATGGGAATGGTGCCTCTCATTGTTACTTCTATTGATCTACTAGTGAAATTCTTTCTTCCCGTTCTCTGCAACTTTGGGCTCTACTGGTCTAGAATTTTTAGCCTCAAGGGAGGAGTATAATGATATCCAGGGGGCACATCACTAGTTCCATTAAACGGAGAGGTGAGACTGTCCCCTTGACACTTCACTGTTCTCATGCCAGTGAATCAAAAAGCAAGTAAGGGGTACCATATTGACTAGAGGGTTGAAGCTAATGATCAAGGGGAATTAGATGGCCACTACAAAATAGCAGTAAGGAGGAGTATATCTAGAAGCCCCAGTGCTGTCTCTTAGTACTCCCGCATTCTGTGATCAAAGTCCATGGAAAACTACAATGACCCAAAAGAGGCAGAACTGTTAATGGTTCAAACCTTTCAGTCACTCTGGCAGAGAAGAAACCACACCCAGCTGAGGTTTTTGCTGAGGGCAAAGGGAACAATGAATGTGTAGTGGAAGAATGTAGTTATAAATGACAGCTATGACCACGTGAGCAAAGTCACTGGATAGCAAAGGAATATGACTTATCTAGAATAGGGATGATTATTAGCCAAAAATGGATAATAGGACTTTGTTTTCTTTCTGGAGGGAGCATGTTACATTTTGTATTAAGAGGAAGCACACTGTTGCTATTGCCCATATTTTAACATTGTTAACTATGATTAAAAGGTTATATACGGATACTAAGTTAACAAGGGATAGATTGCAGTGGATTTGTATTTGTATTGTCAACATAGCTAAACTGAAACTATATTTCCCCAAATCCCTTCATGCCTAGTTCTGAATTGGTGTGCACCCCAAGAAACATTATTGGTAAGAGACCCTTTTAAAAACTAGTGAAACAAATGTCTACTTGATCACCAGTTATTTCTGAAGTATTGCAAATACTTAATTGAAAATAAGGGATTAATTAAATAAATCACATTCATATAGTTGATACTATAAAATGCCAAAGGT